AAAATTACATGATTGTTGATTAGTTGTAAGCATAGCTGATTTATTTTTTTAATCAAATCACAAACCTAAAATCTAAGAGCATTTTATAATCTCTTCTTATTAGTTTGTTTTTGTAGAATCATAACTGTTTGATAAAATGTTTAACTATAAATTTTGTTTTGTTTTTATAAAAAAATTATAATAATTTTTATGTTGTTCATAATATATATTTATTATAATATATGTATTTTAGAGGTTTTATCTACTTCTATAAGTTACAACTAATTTTTATTTTAGAATTATTAAATAAAAAATAATATATTTATCTCATGAATAACTATAATATCTATAAAAAAATTAGCCTAGCATTACATTTCAACGCGTTTTGATGTGAACAAAATAAAAGAATCAAATGTATATCTGGTAAAATATTAAAAAATAAATTGGATATAATTATGTATCAAATCCCGACTTCCTATAACCCCTACTGGAGCATGTTTAGGCTCAGAAGTCAAATTTTATTTTAATATTTTTTTAAGCAAAAATAGTAAACATTAATCCAAAATTACTTCTTACAGTTTAACAAAAAAATAATAAAAAATCTTATGTCAATCAATATAAAATATAACAGCAAGACAGACAGGCAAGGAAGGTCAATAATGACAAGCAGTGGAATATTCAAAACAAAACCAGTAAAATCAAATACAGATACTACAAAAGACGTGATCGATTCCTCTGAATTATCCCATAGTGAATCTTATTAACTCAGATTCAATCACTATCCTTCCCATCTCCATTTTCATTTAATAAAACATTTAACCACTGAAAACAATTCTGTATCTTCTTTCTCTTTCTTGGTTGATTAGTTATGGCTTCTTTGAGTTTGACCCAGATCAAGGGGAGCAATTCTGTCACTGAATTTACTCGGCTCCGTTTGAGAACTCAACGTGGCAGGAGTAAAAGTGGGTTCTTGAAGGTGGTGGGTTCTCAAGGACAGAATCAGGGAGAGCCTGATTTGAGTGTCACTGTAAATGGGTTACATATGCCTAACCCGTTTGTTATTGGGTCTGGTCCACCGGGTACCAATTATACTGTCATGAAAAGGGCCTTTGATGAAGGCTGGGGAGCTGTCATTGCTAAAACCGTGAGTTTTTTCACGTTTATCTCTTTTCTTTCCTGTTTTTCCTTTTTCTGTTAAATTTATCAGGAGAACATCGTCATAGCAGGGCTTAATTTTCCGTTCAATAATATATATATATATATATATTTTTTTTTCCCTTCTGGGATAGTTTTGATAGAGTGATTTTGGAAGTGGGAACATATCAGTGCTAATGTTTAAGATCACGATGTTACCGTTGAGTTTTGGCTAAATCCAGGGGGGATCGAATGGTTCGAATTTGGTTATGTTTGATAATCATTTCGATTATTGCTGACTGTGGTTTTGTTCGATCAGTTCCTAGACTCTTGTTCAAATGGGTTGAGTTTATTTTATGCAAACACAAGAATCCATGATTTTTTTATGTTATTTCTTCCTTTTCCTCTCTGATATTGATTGCCTTGTCTTTGTCAAAATAAAACATTTATTTTTTAGTATCAAAATTGTGAAAAAAAAATGAAAGCTTTTCTTAAGGAATAATTTCGCTGTTTATGCAAGATGTTGATCATTATAAAGTAGTTTTGTTGATTGTGTGAGTTAGTAATTGATATAGGTATTGACAGGGCAGTTGATTGAAGAAATCGTGGGGCATTGTGTGCTTTGATAATTACTTTTCAGGGATGCTCTGTAACTTGTTCTCATAAGTTCAATGTTCTTACAAGGACTATCATTTGCAACAACCAGTTTCGACTAGGTTATTTTAATTGTCTCATTTTGACCACGTCATATGAATGAAGCGCCTAGGGTCACAGTTTCTGTGTTTTATTGGAGAAATCTTTCTTTCCAACTTATCTGAAGTATGTTGTCACCTTTCCATGCTAAGCTATTTGATCTATTCATAAAAGGAAAAAAAATGATCTTCAATTCGATTTGCCAGGTGTCACTAGATGCAGCGAAAGTTATAAATGTAACTCCTCGATATGCTAGGCTACGAGCTGGTGCAAATGGCTCGGCCAAGGGGCAAATTATTGGTTGGGAGAATATAGAACTCATAAGTGACCGACCTCTTGAAACAATGTTGAAAGAATTTAAGCAATTAAAAGAAGAATATCCTGATAGGATTCTCATTGCTTCAATCATGGAGGAGTATAACAAAGCTGCATGGGAGGAACTTATTGACCGAGTAGAGCAAACTGGAATTGTAAGATTTAGTCCTCACCGATTGCTTACTTTTGTGCTAATCTTTAAATTGGATGCTTTCTGTCATCTAAGTTCCTGAAATGTTTCTTAGGATGCTTTAGAAATCAACTTCTCATGTCCTCATGGTATGCCTGAGCGTAAAATGGGTGCTGCAGTTGGCCAAGATTGTGCATTGTTGGAAGAGGTTTGTGGCTGGATTAATGCAAAAGCTACTGTCCCAGTATGGGCAAAGATGACTCCTAACATCACTGACATAACACAGGTCAGTTTCTCCTTTTGTTAGTACACTTGTATTTTAAGCTTGACGGTATGCATGCATTTTAAAAATACTTGGCCAGGGATGGAAATTTCCTTGCTTGTTATGTATAGGGTTCATTATACAAGACCTGTTGCTAAGGAAAGATCAAAATGACAACGCTTTTCAATTTTTTTCACTGAAAAAATTTGGTATATAAAAGTCCTTTTGCTTTGAAGTTGGGGTTGCGATTCTACTGACTATGACGACTTATTGCAGAAACTTTTAATCGCATTTTTTGTTATTGTGGCATTTCCTGGCTTAATGAAATGACACCTTAGACCAAAAAAGTCCTTACAGGTTGAATAACATTTTATGAAATTGTAATTTTACCAATCATTCTATCTAGGACAAACGTTCAGTTGAGCTTCTGAATTCACAAATTAATCTTATACAATCGACCCAGCCTTGCAAAAAGTTGATATTACTTCCTTAACGGACAGTTTTCTTCTCTAGTTTATAGCATAAAAAATCTAATCTAAAAAATATTTAAAACACCATACCCTTTTGAGTATATGTAATACAGAAAATACAATTCCGTTCATCTCATATGTTTGGATTAGTAACTCTTGTGTGACAAAATAGCATAAATCTTTTGATCCCATCCATCTATTTTCATTTTTTTAATTCAAACTGTTGTCTGCAGTAGGGCAGTAACATTTCAGTTGAGTTTTTAGTCATAACTTCATTCCTACCCTGTTGTACAGCCTGCTAGGGTGTCACTAAAATCAGGATGCGAGGGAGTGGCTGCTATTAACACCATCATGAGTGTAATGGGAATAAATCTGAAAACTTTACGGCCAGAGCCTTGCGTCGAAGGGTTTGTATTAGCTGAGAAATGACAAATTTTCCTATTAATCATTATTCTTTAAATAAAACTTACATACCTAAATTTTATTGTCAGATATTCAACTCCAGGGGGTTACTCTTCCAAAGCAGTCCACCCTATTGCACTTGGGAAAGTAATGAATATTGCCAAAATGATGAAATCAGAATTTGATTTGGAGCAATACTCACTTTCTGGTATTGGAGGTGTTGAGACAGGCAGTGATGCTGCTGAATTTATTCTTGTTGGAGCAAATACAGTTCAGGTGGGCAAGAGTATTTTCTTTGCATTTTATTTATCATGTTCTTATTGACTCATCTCATTCACATCTACCTGATTAATATCAGTTGCCTATTCTACCACAAAGATTGGTATTGTGGTTATGGTTTAGACATGTTGTCTCATGCTATTATCTGTACTTAAACTGCCTGGGGTGAACACTAAGTGAGTTTTTCTTTCATGCTATTATTTGCTGGACAAAAGCCTAAAGACTGTGCAAAAAGGAAAAAAAGAATAACAGATTGAAAAAAGAAAGAATAGATTTAGAAGTGCTTTTTAGTTATTATCAAAGTTCCGTGTGACAAACCAGCACCATGTCTGTGTAACTGGAGCTTGAAACACTATACAGTTTAACACACTAAAACTGAAAACTTCAAAAGCCAGATTATTGAGGCATGGATAGACCCACAAGTACAAGTCAGTGTCCAAGTACACATCTTCCACAAGGAATAAGAAAAAAAATCTGTTCTTGATTAATGTTTTACAATATACTTTGGTTTGTCTAAATGAGACCCAGATGCGATTCTATAAAGCATAGTACAGTAGCATGGATGAAGAACTCACCCATTGATAATTCATTTATACCATGAATTTTTGCAATCGAAACTAAGGACTTTGGATTTTAGCAAAGAGTTACCACTTGAAGGGACTTTGATTTCCAAGCGGTATATATCTGTAGGCAGGTGTGACGTACGGACAACTACTTAAATGTCACCGTTGCTTCCAAATGTCATCTTTTTCAGTCTGTGTTTAGTGAGACTTATAGTGGCTCTGCTCTTTCCAATATTCCTACTGAATTAAGAGAGAATCGTTCGCTGTACTTTAAGTGCTCATGTTATTAAACTGTCCTGAGTATTTTTAGATTTTTCCAAAAGCTATCTTTAATTACTTTTTAACTCCTTTAGTAAACGAAAATATTTGTAAACAAACTGTTGTATCGAGTGCAAATATTTAAGATCATTTATTTTTTTTACTTCAGGTATGCACTGGAGTTATGATGCATGGATATGGTCTTGTGAAGAAACTCTGCGATGAGCTGAAGGATTTTATGAAAATGCACAACTTCTCATCAATAGAAGATTTCAGAGGGTATGTATTTTTATCGAAGATATCTCAAGTTGCAGCTATAAAAAATCACTTGCACTTTTTATCTCAAATTTGTTGCTTTCGTTCTGTTGACCTTCCAGAGCATCTCTCGAGTATTTCACAACGCACATGGATTTGGTGCGCCGGCAACAAGAAGCGATACAACAGAGGAAAGCTATCAAGAAAGGTTTGCAGTCTGACAAAGATTGGACCGGGGATGGTTTTGTGAAAGAGACCGAGAGCATGGTTTCTAACTAAACTGAAAAATGAAAGCAAGTCTGTCTGTACAATAAAAATAAATGGGATTTCATCCCACCTTATGTTGATAGTTTGATAGCTGAACTTTGTTGTTGTTTGAATCGAGAACAGCTTAAAGCACACGAATTTCTCAGTTGCAAATGAAATAACCTGTGTCATGTTTGTCATTTCTGTTTATCTAAAGTAACTCATGAAAGCCAGTATCATCAACAGTGAATATTATATACATGCCCAGAAAGTCTTGCATGCCTCTTGGCTTCCCTCTCGTGGTTGGAGACACTCGAAAGACAGCATTGTTATGGCTTATCTTTGTTTAGTTACCCCATAACGGTGGCCGGCCGTCCATGTGGGTATCTGCTTGATTCCAGCCCTTCTAGATTAAAAAAGATTTCTTGGCCGGAGCACTTGTATATTTCAATTCGATATTTCCATCATGCATGTGGAGAAAATGGTTTGCATGCATTCGAATTTCGGGAGTCAAATACTTGGATTCCCTTCATCATCAAATTAAGAAACTAATTTTTGGAAAGATCAATTTAAGTCCCGAAACTAGCCATTTTTCGCATCATCCCATTCTCAAATTTCGTCTCTAGACTCTTTGATATTTTTACTCTTATAAATCTCTACTTGTCTTTTTTTTTTTTTTTTTTGTAAAGTGCGCAGGAGGAGAAACTAGCTTGAAGAACAGGGATCATCGCTACATTATTTTTATTTATAATTTTTTTTATTAATTTAAAAAATAATTTGAATTTTCTCAATTTTTTTATTCTTTGTTGAATTTACTTGATAAATTTTTTAAATTAATATTTTTTATTCTTTAATAGTATATTGGTTTTAGATTTTTTATTTTATTTTTTTCCTTTAATATTTGATTTTTTATAGTTGAACTTCATAATTTTATTCAATTAACTTTCATTAATAATTGTTTTTACCCTTCATTAACAAAAGTAATTATTTAATTAAATAAAAAATTTATTCTAAAAAATAGAGTTATTAAACATAATTTATGGTCTATGTTACGAGATCAAATATTTTAATATTAGTTATTTTTTGATAAAATATTGATTTAATTAATTAAATATGTGTATAAATATTTTAATTTATGATTGAGAATTTTTTTATATCTAAAATCACATTAAAAAGGTTTATAAATTTATTTTTTATTAGAAAAAAATCATCTTATCTATAATAAAACAAGAGTCAAATAACTTGATTTTATTAAAATTCAACTCAACTTTTAACAGTTAACTAATAGATTGTTCAAGCAAGATAGATAGTGCCTCAGAAGAAAAATAGAGGTGGTGGAAAACCACAATAATGTCTACATTCAATACCAGCATCAGCCTTGACCTGGAGGTGCTAATATTCCTAGGCAGAGCCAAAGCATGGGATCAGCTATGCCTGCGCAGAAGCAGCAGCAGCCTGGACCTGGAGGTGCCAATGTTCTAGGCAGAGCCAAAGCATGGGATCAGCTATGCCTGCGCAGCAGCAGGCGGCCCAGGAGGCTATGTATGAACAGCCAAACGGGGGGCCTAATGGGGACGGAAATGGCACCATAATTGATACAATGGCTCAAGGGTTTGTGGCAGGGGCACCACAACAGGGTGGTGCAAAGCGTCATCAACCCTGATGCTGACAGTGACAGTACTGGCAACAATAATAATAGGGATCCCAATGGTGGTGGGGCTAATAATTCTTGCAATCCTTCTGCAATTATTACTGGACCTTCAACTGTGCTAATGAGATATATGATGTTTGTGATAGTTCAATTCAAAGAACAAAATGCAATAATTATGGGAGTTGAAGGAGCCAATTATCACCAGTAATGACGTTAATATGTTGATAAAGTCTAAAAAAAATGGTAGTATTAATAGATTATTATTTTTATAAGAATATTCATAGGATAAAATTAACAACATTATAACGTGTTTACAAAAAAAAAAAAACTAGAATATGGAGAAAATAGTGATATAATTATACATATAATATTCACTTCATAATAATTAAAGTAATGCCATGTTAAAATATAAATAAGTATTTGGTAGGTTAATAAATTTCTTGTATATATACATATTATATGTAACATTTACATGCATCAAATAACCACCTCAATTCGAAACTTTAAACCATTGGATGTGAACCTAAGAATGGTTTTATATCTTCTGAGCACATTCTCTCAAATAAATTAAAAAACATTATACTTGAAATTTACTTAAATCCATTAATATGTTGTGATTACTTTAATAATTTAATTAAAAATAGCTGAGTGTTAAAATAACAATGTATTTTTAAATATAAAAATATTTTAAAAAATAGTTATCACTACTATTCCAAACACTAGGAATGATAATAATTATCTATTAATTTTAATTTTTTATATTTATATTCAACTCATTATTAATGAAGTAAAAAATTTAAATCTTCGTATCATATTCATCAGGCTTCGGATATTCATAAGCATATTTATTTTACAACTATTATTTATTATTTAACAAAAAATTAAATAGTAAGATATATATATATATATATATATATATAGAATTTTAAAAAAATATAAATATAGATCGGAAAGGAAAACTTACTTGTGAGAAGTTGCTTTCTTATTTCTGAATTAATTACTTCAGTGTCACTTCAATTAATAAAACCAAAGTGATATTCCACAGTATGAACGTTTTTATAAATCTTGTCAAGTCAATGCAGAAAATCGAGATAGGAGAAAAGAAAAAAAAAACTAAGTTTTTTTAATAATAAAAAACTTATGTTCCATATGAGTTAGGTCCTTTTATATATTATTAGAGAAGGTGGTTACTTCCTTTATTAACTTCTCTAATAAATTGGATCAGGCTTATCCATCATGGGTGGATCAGGCCTAGCCCAATAACCAACAATAAATATTTCATATGGTACAAATATATATTTTGGATTTGATTTAAATTGAATTTTAGATTGGATTTTATAATATTCATGCTATTATTCATCAATAAATACAACTATCATGAAAAAAATCATCCATGCAGGTAGATTTAAATCATCATCCACACGTTTTGCATCAAATCGTCATATCCCTTAGGATTACCAAACTTGTGGCCATAAGTTAATCACTTCACAGCCAGGGCTTAACCCAGATTACTAGGGTTTTTAGTGGCAGCCACCGAGGAATGATTAAAGAACACAGAGAATTGATCAAGAAAATGATCTTGCTGCTTTAAGCAGAACCACAGAAGAAATATCAGTCTTGGAGGAAGATCCACCACCACTTTCCTATAATGTCTCTTTTCCTGACCTTTCCACAAGGAAAGGATCTCTTGTTGAGGAGATTAGTGATTGCTACTGCCATGAAAGCAAGCTTTCCTCTGAAGCAGACAATCAAATCCAGAGTTCAAGAAATCAACAAGTGGCTGTAAGACGACTCGAACAGATAATGGGAATTGACGTCCTCTCTTCTTCATTTTTCTTTATATATATATATCAAAGAGCATCGTGCTCAATGGCCTGGTCTTGTGGTGTCGCGGATGGACAACAATGGACACTGACAAATGTTAATTATTACCCCTTCCTCCTTTCAATAACTATCATAATTCATATCTCTACACTTTTAGAAACTAAAGGATAGGTTACTGACTTTTGTTTTATAAATATTATTCCAAATTTATTTATATTTTCAATGTCTAGGTTTTAATAAATTTGGAAAATGGTAAGGGATATATAATAATAAATAGTGAGTGAAAATATGTAGTGATCTTTATACTTGGATCTTGAAACATAACAATATTATAGTAACAAATATATTAAATAAAACAAGGATTAAGGATTGGCATGAACAAGTCACAGTTCGTGGGACATTCTGCAATAAACAAGGAAAGAAGCAATAAAATAAACTGGCTAACAGCTAGGAGTTTAAGTCTCCAATTGTTAGTTCAATTATCTAGTCTGGATTTGAATTAAAGAAATTAAATACTGGGAACAAAAAATGTTCTAACATTCAGGAAAAACAAAAAATTTATAACTTTTAATTTTATCATCTAAATCAAAATCAAGTTGAAGGTGTTTATTTTTTCAGTAATGATAATAATGATGATAATAATGATAATAATAATAATATTAGTAATAATTATGGTAATAATAATAATAATATTAGTGATAATGATAATAATAATAATAGTAATGATGATGATAATAATTTCAATAATAATAATGATTAAATTATTTATTAATAATAGAAGCAAAAGTGATTTTGATTTTTTGAACTGCTATTTTTTTATTATTTAATATGATTGAAATTCTTTTTTTTTTTAATTTTATTATTTAATATTTAATTTTATTATTTTTATAAATTGAGTGTTTTATATCTAATAAATAACTTGCATTACAAATTTAAAAAGTTAACTCATTTTAAAAAATAGGTTTTTATGGCTTTTTTTTTTATTAAATTGTTCATATTCAATTAGATAATCTAAGACATGAATTTAGTGAGATATCTGGTGATTTATCCCTAATTAACATTATTATGCATTATACATTCATCATTAACGGGTTTTTTTTAAAGTTTATTTAGCTTCATTTCAATCTTTAAACATTATTTTTTTTTTAAAAAAAGTCAGTTTAAATTTAGCCAAAATTTCTTGGATGATGATGTGAAATAAAAGCAGTGCTGGCTTTGAAGAGAGGATCAAACGAAATCAGATGGGCTTGCCCAGCTCGGCTGATCTTGAAGAATCAAAATCATGGCTCCCAAATATTTGTGAAAAATACAGTCAGAATTGAATCTGTTTCCAATCTCAAGGCAACGCCATGTAAGCTTTTCAGGATCTCCATGCGATCTTATGGAGTGCAGAGATCTTTTTACTATAAAACAGCTGTGTGGTTGAAGACAATGGGCCATCTCTGATTAATGCAAGTTCAGGCATGAGCACGTTTTTTAAAATGTATTTTTTTATCTGTCAATTTATTAAAATAATATTTTTATTTATATGTAGAAATTAAAAATACACTATTACATTAATTATTTTTAAATCTCACATGCTTTACTGGTCATTACATCCAAATACATGATAGTAGAGCCAAGTCTGTACGGTAAACGGTAAAATACGAAACATAAAATCAATGTAGTATAATAAGATTTTAGAAAAAATGAAATAATAATAATAATAATAATAATAATAATAATAATAG